CACATCCCCTATGTCCCCCACATCCCCTATGTCCCCAGCATCTCCAGCGTCCCCCACAGGTAAGAGCCATTTGGCCGATGGCACCCGAGAGTTCTGGGGTCACTGCTGTCCCACAGTGTCCATCCTCCCCACGGGACAGGACCTTGAGCCCCCAGGGGTGCCCAGGGGGTGTGGGTGCTCTCTTCCAGCCCTCTGACCCCTCCTCTCTCTTTGCAGCTGGCACCACCGAGGACACGGGGGGCAGCAAGAGGTGTGTCCCCACAGTACCCCACCGCAGGGATGGCACCCCATAGCTCCCTGCTCATGGCTGTCCCACCCGTGTGTGCCTGCAGGGGTGCTCCAGAGAGGGGGGCACGGGACAAGGCAGCCCCCGGTTCAGCGGGACAGAGGCTGAAGCTGGAGGGGGCTGGGGGACGGCCACGAGTGGGATCCCGGGCACAGGGGCGCAGCGCCATCCTGGAGAAATTTGGAGGGTGAGGGGGGCCTGACCCCATGGGGGACACGGGGGTGAGGGACAGGAGGGGCATTAAGGGAATGGGGGACACGAGGGGCGCTATAGGAAAGCCAGGGACAGTGGGATGGGTCATGGAGCAGTGGTGGTGGTGTTTGAAGGCCATGAGGCAATGGGAGGTACAGGGGAAATTGGGGGTGTGGCAGGGACTGTGACAGTGGGGGTGTTGGGGGGCACAGGGCAGTGGGGTCATAGGGGAATTGGGGGTCTGTGGGGCAATGGTGGTACTGGGGGACATGGGGCAATGAGGGGTACAGGGAGAAATGGGGGTCCATAGGGCGGGTGGGGCTGTGTGACCATGGGGCAGTGGGGCATTGGGGGCCCAGAGCCACAGGGCAGTGGGGTCACGGAGGGGCTGGGGGGTCCCTTTGAGGGACGGTGGGGTGTAGGAAACCCACAGCCCAGGTCCCCCCAGGGCTGCCAAGGGCCCAGCCCCACACCTGCGGCGCTCAGGGGGGGCCGCCACGGTCAAGACGATGCTGCTGGAGTGGTGCCGCGCCCGCACCCGTGGGTACGCGGTGAGTGCAGGCGGGGGGCAGTGTGAGGGTCCGGTGGGGGGTCCAGGGATAGCCTGACTCCCCCACCTGCACAGCACGTGGATGTGCAGAACTTCTCTGGGAGCTGGGGCAGCGGCCTGGCCTTCTGCGCCCTCCTGCACAGCTTCTTCCCCGACGCCTTTGACTTTGCTGCCCTGGAGCCCAACGCCCGCCGGGAGAACTTCGCCCTGGCCTTCGCCACTGCCGAGTGCGTGATCACAGCCCCGGCCCCTGGGTCCCCCCGGCCAGCCCCGGCCCCGATGACCGCTCTGTCCCTTCCCGTAGGGAGCGGGCGGGCTGTGCCCCGCTGCTGGAGGTGGAGGACATGGTGCGGCTGCCGGTGCCCGACGCCAAGTGTGTGTACACGTACGTGCAGGAGCTGTACCGCTGCCTCGTGGCCAAGGGGCTCGTGAAGACCAAGAAGCGCTGAGAGGGTCCCCCACAGCCCCCCACCTGTGCCATCCCCCTCTTTGTCCCCTGCTCTGTCGCCCAGCAGTAAAGTTCATGGTGCCAGGCGGTGGTGGCCTCGTCTCTGGAGGGAGTAATGCTGGCACCAAGTGAGTGTCTGGGCATTGTCACCAGGCTGGGGCACAGCCTTGGCTCTGCCACCAAGAAGGTGACACCCCCCAGGGCTGGCACTTGGGTGGGGGGCAGCAATTCCTGGAGCCCCCCACTCTCCCAGTAAGGCACCACAGAGCCAGAGCAGGTGATGGAGGGAATTTTTTGCCTTATGTATGGGTGTCGGGGCGCGGCTCGGCGTGGAGCCGGGTGTGTTCCTCTGCCCGGCGCCAGAAGTCCTCGGGGCGCTCCTGCAGCTCCCGGGCCAGGTCCGGCCGCAGCACCCGCTGGGGGTCTGGGCTGTCCAGCTGCAGCAGCAGGTCCTGGAGCACTGCCAGAGCAGGGGGGTCAGAGGGGGAACCCCCAGCACTGTGCCCCTGTTCTCACGGTACCCACCTTGGATGGCACGGGTGGTGGGCTCCCAGTGCATGTGGGAGGTGAGGGGCTGGCAGACGCGGCCCTCGAGGTCCACGCTGGGGTGGTAGATGGGAGTGCGGAGGGTGGCGCAGGGGGGCTCCAGCGGGTGATTGGGGGAGAAAATCAGCTCGAAGCGGAAGGAGCCCGTGTTGTATGGGGGGTTGTTCTGCCAGGATATGGGGGGGGCACCTCAGCCCCTTCTGCCACAGCGTCCGTCGGGGGGAAGGAGGCCTCTCCTTCCAGTGCCCCCCGTAGAGATTCCCCCGTGCCAGCCCGAGCCCCTCAGGAGGGGAACATCCACCCAGTGTCCCCAGCCCAGGACGCGCAGAGAGACCCTCAGTTCCGTCCCGAGAGGAACCGTCACTCAGTCAGACGGCCCCGGTCCCAAGGGTCACATCCTTCCTACAAGCCCGCATGTCCCCCATGCGCAGGGGACCCCCACAGCCCCCGCTCCCCAGGACTCCCCGCAGCCCCCCCACGTCCTCCCGTGTCCTCTCCCCACGCACGGGCAGCAGGAGACCGCCCCAGCGCCGCACGTTCCCGTCCAGCGGCCGCACGTCGCGGGCCCCCTCCCAGCGCCGAGCCTCCTCCAGCTCCTGCGGGGAAGGGGTGGGGCAGGTGTAGGCGGGGCCGTTCGGGACTCGCCGCTTTAGGGCGGAGGTGTGTCCCGAGCGACCCCTCCATAGGTCAATCCTCCACCCGGAGCACGCCCCTGGGCGGGGTCACCCGGGGGCCGCGCCTTAATAGGCAGGGTTTAATTACCGGGCACACCTTTAGGGACGGGGCCGGCAGTCTGGACACACCCCTGGGAGGGGCCGCCCCGCCGGGGAAACGAAACTGAAACGTGCAGGGATATTTGTCACTCCCGCACCGGAGACCCTCCACCCCGGTACTGCTTCCCTCGCACCCCGGCACCGGGACACCCCCAGCACTGCCCATCCCCGGTACCGGAACCCCCGCACCGGCAATGACATCCCCCAACACTGCCTATCCCCGGTACCGGGACCCCTGCATCGGCACTGACACCCTCAGCACTGCCTATCCCCGGTACCGGGACCCCCTCACCGGGCACTAACGCCCTCCAGCAGCGCCTCTGCCGCACCCCGGTATCCCCGCACTGGCACTAACACTCCCCAGAACCTCCTTTTCCACCCCGGTACCGGCACCCCCGCACCGCGAGCACGGCTCCCCCTCGGTCCGGTGCGAACACCAGGACCCCCGCGCCGGTACCGCAGCGGCGCCGGAGTCCTGGTCCTGTCCCGGTGCCCACCTTGGCGATGCGCCCGGCCATGGTGATCAGCGCCCGGTGCCACGGGGATGGGCTCCGTGGGGTCAAGCCTCTGAGAGGGCGGGGCGAGGTTCTCCGGCCGCGCCTCCGGCACGCGTGGGTGGGGACAGATGGGCCTGGGGCGACCGGCGACCCCCGTCACCCCGGGGGTCCCAGGGGCGGTGGGTGACAGAAAGCACCGCGCAGACGGTGCCTGACGGGAGCAAACCGAGACCGCATCCCGGCTGCCTCCGCACCCCCCTGCCCGTCCCCCACAGCTGCCCCCGCATTACGGGCCGTGTCCCGGCTGATTTACGGGAACCTCCTTAATTTTTAACCAGGCAGGGTCGGACCTGGCCAGATCCCCCGGCGCCCGCTGGACACGCAGGGATCGACCCGCCGGGCACCCAGGTGGGCCCGGGGTGCTGCCCCCTTCCATCCCCACAGCCGGTCCCCCGCTGGGGGACAGAGTGGGGACACCCCGGGATGGGGCTGCACGGGGTGGGGGTACGGGAAGTGCAGGGTGCCAGGGTGGGGGTGCTGGGTGTCTGTCCTGCCCTTGACCTGTGCCTTCCCGCCAGCATGCCCACCAAGACGTTCTGGCTGCCTCTGGCATGGCTGGTGGCCACAGCCACGGTGGCTGTCACCCCGGTAAGTGTGGCCCAGGCACACGGGCTCCCCGTGCCCGACACCCCTCTATACCCCCTTACCTGAGTCCCCCCCCGGGTGCCCCATGCCCCCTCACACAAGTCCCTGTGCCCAGGTGCTCACTCTGGAGCCCTCTCCGAGCTGGATGGCGCTGCTCACAGAGACCCCGACACCGCCTGAGCCCCCTGCTCGTACTCCGGCTCCCTCGCGGGACGTGGGGACCCCTGTCCTGCCCACCCCCAGCGCCCACGCCGGGGAGCCTGGCTGGGGTGTCACAGATGCCCCCAGCCCCACAGCGCCTGAGGAAGCACCGGAGGAGCTGGACACGGCAGCCAATGGGACCGCGGCAGTGCCCACGCCTGGCACCAGCGCCCTGCCGTGCCCTGGGGACGAGGAGCCCACCGACACCTGCGGGGAGCCCACGGGGGAGCAGCGGGCTGCCGTGGCCGAGGCTCTGGTCACCTTTGCCCTCCGCTTCTACCAGCACATGGCAGAGGCTGCCCAGCCCGACGCCAACCTGCTCTTCTCCCCCATCAACGTCGCCGTGGGGCTCTCGCACCTGCTGCTGGGTGAGGGGCTGCCCGCGGGCACCGGCACCGCCGTGTCACCGCTGTCCCTGCCGGGCCACTTCGCTGAGCTTCCCCCGTGCCCGCAGGCGCCCGCGGAGACACCCGGGAGCGTCTGGCCGCCCTCCTGGCGTACCCACAGGGGCTGGACTGCGTGCACGGCGCCCTGCAGCAGCTGGCCAGCGCGCCAGGCCTCTTCTCGGCCGCCCAGATCTTTCATGACCCAGGTGAGGCGGGTGCCGGTGGGGCTCCTCTGCCGGCTGAGCACCCGGACTGACACCGGGACCGTGCCGCCCCACAGAGCTGCACGTCCGGACCCGCTTCCTCAACGACTCCCTGCGCTTCTACGGCGCCCGCCCGAACGCCCTGAGCGGCAACGAGAGCCTGGACCTGCAGCGCATCAACGCCTGGGTGCGGGAGGCCAGCAAGGGGCTGCTGCCCTCGCTGCTGTCCGCGCTGCCCCCCGAGCCCAGCCTGCTGCTGCTCAGCGCCGTCCACCTGCGCGGTACGGCCCCGCCACCCTCCGGGCATCCTCCGGGCATGGGGCGATGGGCTGAGGCCGGCCCGTGTGGCCCCCCGGTGCCCCCCGCCCCCCAGCCGCGGTGCCGTGTCCCCACAGCCGCCTGGCGAACGCCGCTGGACCGCAAGAAGACGGTGCCGCTGCCCTTCCTGCGGCCCGGGCACCCCCCGCGCAAGGTGCCCACCATGACCAGCGCCAAGTACCCGGTGGCCTCCTTCTCCGACTCCCGCCTGCAGGTCCAGGTACCCCTTGGCCGGGACCGGACACCAGGTGCTGGGGGTCCGGGGGGGTCACTGCTGGGGCATGATGTCACTCCAGTGGCACTAAGGAGGAACGCCAGGCTGTGACATAACTCCTGCGGCACTCGAGGAGGATGCCAGGCTGATGTCACTCCCTTGGCACTGGAAGGGGCACAGGCTGTGACCTCGCTCCCCTGGGACTTTGAGGGATGCCAGGCTGGCACCTCCCTGGTGGCACTGTGGGGGTGCCGGTCCATGAGGTCCCCGGAGTGGCCCTTAGGTGGGGGTCTGCCCCACAGGTGGGGCGGCTGGAGCTGAGTGGGGGGCTGAGCCTCGTGGTGATGATGCCACGGGGGCCCCTGGAGCCTCTGGAGACCCTGGAACGGGCGCTGGACCCCACGACCTTCCTGGCGCTGCTACGGCGGGCGGTCCGCACCCCGCCGCGGGCCACCGCGCTGTCCCTGCCCCGCATACGCCTCGACCTCGCCCTGGACGTGGTGGCTGTGGTCCACGGCATGGGTAAGGACACCTCTGGTGGCACCACAGGGGCTGGGTGGGCTGCTGGGTCACATCAGTCCCTGTGCGGTGACGTTACTCCCTGCAGGATGTCACGGGTCCCTCCCCTGGGCGTCACTTTCCCCAGGGTCCCCAAAGGTCACAATGTCCCTCGTATCCCCTTACCTTTGGTTTCCGCTGAGTCCCCCCGCACTCCCGTGTCCCTGGTGTCACCCATGTCCCCAGTGCCCCGGATGTGCCCTGCTCCCCCCATTGCCCCTAATATCCCCTTATATCCCAGTGTCCCCAAATTATCCCTGGTGTCTCTCATGTTCCCAGCGGCCCAAATATCCCCCATCTCCCCGGTGTTCTCCATATCCCTGAGCGTCCCCTGGCTCCCCCCAGTGTCCCCGTTGTGTCCCGGTGCCTCCTCTATCCCTACTGTCCCTTGTGTCCCTGCGTCTCCATGTCCCTGCCCCTCTGGATCCCTTCTGTGCCCGTGTCCCCGGTGTCCCGGAATGCCGCGGGAGTGATGCTGAGGCCGGTGCCGCAGACTTCGGGCTGTTCCTGGACGCGGAGCTGTGCGGGCTGGCGCGGGGCCCGGCCGCGGTGGACACGGCGCTGCACCGGGCGGTGCTGGCACTGGACGAGGCCGGCGCGGAGGCGGCGGCTGCCATGGCCACCTCGGTGGCGCGCTCGGCCCCGGTGCTGGAGGCCCTGCGCCCCTTCCTCTTCGTCCTCTGGCACGACACCGGCGACTTCCCCGTCTTCATGGGCCGTCTCAGCGACCCCCAGCCCTGACTCTGCCCCTCCTATCCCTGTCGTCCCTCCTCCCATCCCTCCATCCTTCCCTCCCGCCTCCTCCTCTCCCTCCTCCCTCCATCCCTGCCTCCTCCTCTCCCTGCTTCCATCCTTCCCTCTCTCCTTTACCCCTTTCCTCTCTCCCTCCTTCCCTCCCTCCCTCTGCATTCCTTGTCCCTCCTTCCTCTCCTCTCTTCTCCTCCCTCTCCCTTTCTCCCTTCCCATCTCCTCACCCTTCACACTCCCCGCCTCCCCAGGGCACCAGAGGGTCCCTGCTCATCCCGTGCCTCACTTTACCCGCTAGCTCGGGGTCCCAATAAACGCACCAACCACCTCCCGCCTCCTGCGTGTGAGGGGAAGGGGCAGGCTGGGGACACCAGGGACCCCCATTCTGTGCCAGGCTGTGTATCAGGGTGAGCCAGGGGTGGTAGTAGTGCCGGGGACAGGTGACAACCAGCACCTTCCTACAAAAAAAGCCTTTATTGCCCTAGAAAAGCCCAGCAACCCCGCGGCTGGTGCCACCCAGGGGGCACCGGGGGCACAGGGAAAGTGCCAAAGAGGGGGTCACCCAGCGCTCCCCCACGTGCCCCCCAGTCCCAGCTGCACCTCCGCGTCAGTCCCAGCCGTTTTCCTTCACCATGTGCGACATTTCGATGATGAACTTCCCCTCCTTGTACTTTTGGCTGCTCTCGAACGCCTGCTCCTGGGTGGGGGGGACACAGTGTCAGCCCCCACATGCCCCGATGGGCGCTGCCCTCCCCAGGGCTTGGGGGTGTCACCAGCACAGGTTTGGTGTGCCCGGGGGTGCCCATGGAAGGAGTTGGGATGCCCAGACAGGGATTTGTGTGACCACGGAAGGGATTGGCGTGACCAGGGGTGCCCATGGAAGGGGTTGGGGTCCCCGGGCAGTGCCTGCAGCAGGTGGGGGGTCCCAGCTAGGGGCACTCACGTATTTCCAGCCCAGGGTGGTCTTGCAGCTCTGGCAGAAGATGTCGGCCACCGAGTGCAGCCCCGTCAGCAGCAGCCGCTGCTCAGCCGGGCCGCACCCCACGTTCACCCTGTACCGAGAATAGAGTGTCCCACAGGCTCGGCACACCCAGCCCGGGGACCCCCCGGGACCCCCGGGGCTTCCCCTGGCCTCTGCCATCCCCGGTGCCCCCCAGTACTCACACGGAGTTGAACAGGTAGGCACGGCCGTGGCTGCCCTGGAAGGACTGCGGGGACACGGCGAGTGTCACTGGTGGGTCCCCCAGGGCCCCCGGCACCCCTCCCTCCATGTCCCACTCTCATCCCGCTGCACTGCCACCGAGCAGCGCACCAGCCTGGGGACACCGCAGGGGGACACCTGCCGACTTGGGGACACTGAGGGGGACACGGTCACCTCTAGGGGAGCACCGTACTGGTCACCACGCCGTGGGGGGTGGGGGGGTGGATGCTTCCCGCCTTGAGGCGATGCTGGCCATCCAGGAATGGGAATGTCCTCATCTCGGGACACCGCAGGGGGAGCACTCACCGCCCCGGGGGACACCACAGGGGCACACTTGCCGCGCCAGGGGCACCGTGGGGGAGAAGCTCAACACTCTGGGGACACGGCGAAGGGACACCCGCTGTCCCGGGACCCCCCCGGGGTCACGGCAAGGGGGACTCCCACTGTCCCAGCAGGCGAGGGCCAGTCCCCACCCAGCCCGGGGGTGGCGGTGGCACCTTGGAGATGAGCTCCTCGTGGCGGGCCAGGTGCGCCCGGCAGTGGACGCAGCTGTAGGTGCGGTGGGAGCGCGGCAGGTAACTGCGGAAGGTGCGCGGGGGCAGGCGGGCGGCCGGGGGCAGGCGGCGGCGGGCCGGGGGCGGCATGGCCGGGGGCAGCGCCCCGGGGGGCACCGCGCAGCCCCCGCACAGCCGCTCGCAGGGGAAGCAGCGCAGCAGCGCGCCCAGAGCCGCCGTCCCGCCCGGCCGGGCTCGGGGGGCTCCGCCGGGGCCCCCCGGCAGAAGGAGGTGGAAAAGGGGGGCGGCCTGCGAAGGGGGAGGGGGGCGGTGAGGGAAGACCCCCTCCTCAGTCTCCCAGGAGTAGCGCTCCACGTCCTGGGCCGGCTGAGAGCGGGCGGTTCATGGCAGGAGTGACGGGCAGCGGGGACAGCGGGAGAGCGGGGGGGCCCCGAGGGACTGGAGAGGCTGGGGGCGTCCCAAGCTGGGTCTGGGGTCTCTTCTCTAAGCGTCTGGGAGTCCCTTTGGGGTGGGGGTCCCCGGGGAGATGATGGGGGTCCTGAGGGAGAAAAGCGCGAGTACCAGGCGTGGGGGGGGAATAGGGAACCGGAGGAAGGACGACGGGAGTCCCGACGGGGAGATGATGGGAGTCCTCACGGGGGGTTGATGAGAGTTCCAAGGTGCGATGAGGGGGTCCCAAGGAGTGGATTGTGTCTCCCGGGAAGGGTGACGGGGGTCCCCGGGAGGCGAGACGCTGCTGGTGGGGGGATATTTGGGGTGAAGGAGGACAGGGGTATCGCCCTGGGGGGGCAATGTCAGGAGCGCTGGAGGACACGACGCGGGGCTCGGTGGGGCTTTGGGGCTCTCTGGGGGACAGATGGGGGGGTACCGAGTTCCGTGGGTTCCCGGGGGCCGCTCACCGCCCGCCGCTGTCCCCGCTGCCGCCGCTGCCGCTGTCGCCGCTGTCCCCGGGGCGGGCGCGGGGGGGCCCTGCGTGCCCGGGAGCCGCATCACGGTACCGTGACTCATCCCGCGGCCGTGACGTCACCCGCAGCCACCGCCGCCGTGACGTCACCGCCCGGCCCTCCGACGTCAGCCCGGCCACCGGGGATAAGCTGCTGCCACCGGAGCACATCCCGGTCCATCATGTCCCCACCATGTCCCCGTGGCTACCCTGTCCCTCCGGGCCCCCGTGTCCCCTTGTGTCCCCCGTGTCCCCCCTGTGAGATGTAAATCAGGCGCGCGGGACTGCGTGTAAATGTCACGCGAACGTCATGCAAACGAGCCCAGGACTCATCCTGAGGGTTGGAGGGGGAGAGGGGGAGCCCCATTGTAATGAGATGCAAACTAGAGGAGGGACTGCGGGCGATATGCAAATGAGATGTAAACGAGACGCAGGAACGGGACAGGACACGCCCCCCGTGAACCAGGCATACCACGTGATCCAGGCCAGCAGCTGCTCTCGGCGCGCCGCTTTGACGTCACTTCCGTCGCCGCGGTGGCGGGCGGGGGGCACCGGCCCGGGGACCCCGGCGTCACCGTCATGGCGGACGATGGCGGCGAAGAGAAGAAGCAGGTGGCCAAGTTCGAGCTGGAGCGGGAGACGGAGCTGCGGTTCGAGGTGGAGGCGGCGCAGACGGTGCAGCTGGAGCTGCTGACCGGCATGGCCGAGGTGTTCGGCACCGAGCTCACCCGCAACAAGAAGTTCACGTTCGACGCGGGCGCCAAGGTGGCCGTGTTCACGTGGCACGGCTGCACCGTGCAGCTCAGCGGCCGCACCGAGGTGGCCTACGTCTCGCGGGACACGCCGATGCTGCTGTACCTGAACACGCACACGGCGCTGGAGCAGATGCGGCGCCAGGCCGAGCGGGAGGACGAGCGCGGGCCCCGCGTCATGGTGGTGGGGCCCACCGACGTGGGCAAGACCACCGTGTGCCGCCTGCTGCTCAACTACGCCGTTCGCTTGGGCCGCCGGCCCACATTCGTGGAGCTGGACGTGGGGCAGGGCTCGGTGTCCATCCCCGGCACCATGGGCGCTCTGTACATCGAACGCCCGGCCGACGTGGAGGAGGGCTTCTCCCTGCAGGCCCCCCTCGTCTACCACTTCGGCTCCACCACGCCCGGCACCAACATCAAGCTGTACAACAAGGTGAGCACGGGGGGCTCGCCCCGGGTTGGATCTGGCCCCAGAGTAACCCCAGGCGGTCTCTGAATCCCCGGGGTGCTCCCGCTGCTGCTGTTTGGAGGCAGCACAACACGTTTTAAAAGCAGCTGCAGCCTCGTGCACCCCTTCCCAGCTATCGGATCAGGGTGGGAAGGGAGCCCAGAGGAGGGCACGAAGTCGATTAAGGGAACTGGAGCACCTCCCCTACGGAGACAGGCTGGGAGAGGTGAAGCAGTTCAGCCTGGAGGAGGAAAGTTTGTGCAGTGACCTCAGAGCAGCCTTTTCCATCCTAAGGGGCTACAGGGAAACTGGAGAGGGATTCTTGTCAGGATCTGGAGCGACAGGATGGGGTGGAACGGGTTCACAGAGTCAGGTGAGAGGAGAAATTTAGGCTGGATATTGGGAGGAAATTGCTTTATTGTGAGGATGCTGAGGCCCTTCAGGGTTGCCTAGAGAGGCTGTGGATGCCCCATCCCTGGAAGTGTCCAAGGCCAGGTTGGATGGGGCTTGGAGGAGCCTGGGCTGGTGGAAGACATCCCTGGCATAGGGAACTGGATGGTGTTTAAGGTCTATTCCAACCCCAACCACTCTACAGTTCCACAATTTTGCCCTGGGTGGCCACCCAGAATTGAGGCCTTGAGGGTTCTGGAGGAGCTGGGGACATGGCTGGGGAGAGCGTGGGGACACTGGTGCCTCTGTGTGACCCCTCCTCCCGCAGATCACGTCGTGCCTGGCCGACGTCTTCAACCAGCGCTGCGAGGTGAACCGGCGGGCGTCGGTGAGCGGCTGCGTCATCAACACCTGCGGCTGGGTCAAGAGCTCGGGCTACCAGGCGCTGGTGCACGCTGCTTCTGCCTTCGAGGTGGATGTGGTGGTGGTGCTGGACCAGGAGCGCCTCTACAACGAGCTCAAGCGGGACCTGCCCCACTTTGTGCGCACCGTGCTGCTGCCCAAGTCCGGCGGCGTGGTGGAGCGCTCCAAAGACTTCCGCCGGGAATGCCGGGACGAGCGTATCCGCGAGTACTTCTACGGCTTCCGCGGCTGCTTCTACCCCCACGCCTTTGACGTCAAGTTCTCTGACGTCAAGATCTACAAGGTGGGCGCGCCCACCATCCCGGACTCGTGCCTGCCGCTGGGAATGTCACAGGAGGACAACCAGCTGAAGCTGGTGCCGGTGACACCGGGGCGGGACATGGTGCACCACTTGCTGAGCGTCAGCACTGCCGACAGCCCCGACGACAACATCTCCGAGACCAGCGTGGCCGGCTTCATCGTGGTCACCGGCGTGGACCTGGAGCGCCAGGTCTTCACCGTGCTGTCCCCGGCTCCACGCCCCCTCCCCAAGAACTTCCTGCTCATCATGGACATTCGCTTCATGGACCTCAAGTAGGGGAAGGGCGGGATGTGCCCCCCACTTCCTCCTCCTCCTCCCTGTGCCCCCTTCTTTGTCTCCCCAGCGAGGTGCAGCACCCGCATTTCGGTTTTATACTTTTTGTACAGTTTGCTATTAAATCTGGAAGCTTTTGCCGCTGGTGAGCGTCTGCTGAGGTGGGGGGGGGGGGGGGGGGGGCCCGGGGGGGGG